TAAATATTTTTTAAAAAAAGCAGGTTTGCTGGCCTCCAGAGTAAACACTTTTTTAAATTAGTTTTTAAAAACGTTTTTAACGAATTATTTTATGGGACCAACAGTTAGCATAATGGCTATGTTGCTGGACTCCCACGTAGTCCACTGCCATTCGAGTCCCAGACCCGGTGGCTTCAACTCACACCGGGCGCATGTGCGTGTGTGCCCAAGATCCCCAGAGGAGAATGGAGGAGAAGGGATTGCGGCGTGGCCATCCCCCCTGGGGGGTGATTTCTCACTTTCTATCTCTGTGTCTCTCTCTGTCTTTCTGGCAAGTGCACGCGCTCTATAGCAAAAACTTCTCAAAAAAAATTATTAGGGCCAGCAGATGGTATGGTGATTAAGGCACCTGGATTCCCATATGGCTGACCATGGTTCAAGTCCCAGATCTGGCAGCTTGCTTTTTCACTTTCCTTCACTCTCTCTGCTCAACTTCCAAAAAATAAAATAAAATAATGAAAATGAATAAGATTAAATAATTATTTTAAGTAATTATTTTATTTATCTTTATTTATTTATTTATTTTAATTTGACCAGAGAAGGACAGAATGAGAGAAAGAGAGAGAGAGAGAAAGTGAGAAAGCAAGCCATCAGGTCCAGGACTTGAACTGTGGTCGGCCATGAGGGAGTCCAGTGCCCTTAACAATCACGCCACCTGCCGGCCCAAGGCCTAGTTATTAGTAACCGAGTCCGGCATCTTTAACTGCCACACCACCTACCGGCCCCACAATTTTTTTTTTTTAGGTGTATGCATTTAGTTCTTCCATGAATGACAGAACCAGAGAAGGACAACTGGCAGACCAGCAGGTGATATGGAAGTTAAAGTAGCTGGATCTCACATGGCTGACCGAGCAGTTCGAGTCTCAGGCCCGGCAGCTTGAAAATCATACATGGTACATACGCATGTGTACCTGAAATTCCAGAGAGTGGAGAAGGGACTGCAGCATAGTCATCCCCATTGGGGGGTGATTTCTTACTTTTCCCCTCTCTCTCTGTCTCTCTCTCTCTCTCTCTCTCTGTCTGCATTCAGTAAGTGCATGCACCTTATAGCAAATTTTTAAAAAGAAAGAAAACAAGACAAACAGCACCCACGAGTGTCCTAATGCCTGATCACCTCTAGCTCAGCTAGCCCCAGAATCCACCCTGGGGGGCAATTTCTCGCTTTCTATCTCTCAGTATCTCTCTGTCTGGTGAGCACACGCGCTCTATAGCAAAAACCTCTCTCAAAAAAAAAAGAAAGAAAAGAATTATTTTATTTAACTTTAATTATTTATTTACTTCTTTTAATTAGATGAGAGAAGGACAAAGAGAGAGAGAGAGAAAGTGAGAAAGCAAACCACCAGGTTCAGGACTTGAACTGAGGTCGGCCATATGGGAGTCCAGGCGCCCCAACCACCACTCTACTCGCTGGCTCTGTTTTTTAGGGTTTTTTTAGGTTACTTCTCCCGTGATGGAGAGAAACAACATCCTCCAACAGTGCACGGGCGCACCACTCTGCCCACCCCCACCAACAGCTCTTTAACCACGTCTCCTTCCCACAAATGAGCACACCAGAACCTCACCCGACCAGAAACCAGGCTCTCCTCACTGGCAAAATGGACTCCCTGAGGCCTGTGCACTGGCTGCCGACTTCGTTCCTAAGAGGCTCACCACAACTCGAAGACGCGGCAGTCTACACCGACCTGGCACGTATTCGCACACAGTGAGGAGTAAGTTTAGGATCGAGAGACCCATTAGGGAGGCAAACAGAGAGAAACCCCTGTAAACAAATAAAACAACTTAAAAGGGAAAACTGACAGCGAGGAAAAAGTTAAAAAGATATGAAAAGTAGACCTATGATTTTTCTTTTTTTTTGAGAGGTTTTCGCTATAAGGCGCGTGCGCTCGCCAGACAGACAGAGAGAGACAGAGAGAGACAGAGAGACAGAAAGCGAGAAATCACCCCCCAGGGGGGATGGCCATACCGCAATCCCTTCTCCTCCATTCTCCTCTCAGGATCTTGGGCACGCACGCACACGCGCCCAGCATGAGTTCCAAGCCACTGGGTCCGGGACGCGAACCGTGGTTGACTACGTGGGAATCCAGCGACATAGCCATTACGGTAACTGCTGGTTCCCAATTTTTTTTCAAATATCAGCCTGAAGTCATTTACCTGAGGGTATTAAATGCGCCTACAAATTCAAAATGGCCTAAGGACATCACGAAATTATAGCCCAGGGCCACAAATGAAGAGTGTAAGATCCCATCTTTTTATACTCATTTTAAACTCCAGGAAGTGAAGTCATAATTTCGAAAATTTTTGCATCTGAAATAGTTAGCATTTTGGTTCAAAAAAAGAAGAGAACTGTTGGATACCTGCAGTTGGTGTAATGGCTATGTCGCTGGACTCCCATGTAGTCCACTGCGGTGTGAGTCTCAGACCCGGTGGCTTAAACTCACGCCGGGCGCATGTGCGTGTGTGCCCAAGATCCTGAGAGGAGAATGGAGGAGAAGGGACTGTGGCATGGCCATCCCCCCTGGAGGGTGATTTCTCACTTTCTATCTCACTGTCTATCTCTCTATCTTTCTGGTGAGGGCACGTGCCCTATAGCAAAAAAAAGAAAAAGAAAAAGAAAGAAAGAAAAAAACAACTCTCCAAATAAAAAGGATTTCTGCTATTCCCAAATACATCCATCCTGGAAGTTTTCTGTCATCCTCACTTCTTTCAACTGTTTCAAGCAAGCCTTCTCCGCTGTTTCTGTTACCACCTTGACAAAGTGTTAAGGGAGGGCTGGCCCGAGCCTAGTGGTTAAGGGAGCTTAATCCTACATGGCTAACTAGGGTTCGAATCTCAATCACCGTCTTCAGAAGCAGGCCAGGCCCATGTGCAAGCATGCCCCAGATCCCAACAGGGGAGAAATGAGGCGGTCACAGCCACTGCAGGGAGCCTTTCCCCTCTCCTCTCTCCCTCTCCTCTCTGTCTCTCTCTAGTGGGCATATGTACCCTCTGGCGATTAAAAAAATGTTAACGGGAAAAGAAGGTATAGAAAAGTGTTATATTGGGGCCGGCAGGTGGCGTGGTGGTTAAGGGCATGGGACTCCCACATGGCCAACCACGGTTCGAGTCCTGGACCACTTGCTTTCTTACTTTCGGTCTCTCTCATTCTCTCTCACTGTCCCTCTCTGGTCAAATTAAAATAAATAAATCAAATTAAACAATTCTTTTTTTAAAGAAGAAAAATGTTATATTTATTTACATAAGCTACAACTTAGTCTTCCTTAGAACTTAAAGGCAATTTATATGGTTGGTAAAATCACGTTG